GGGGATTTTACTTGGGCAATGCCATGGTGTGGAACCGTCACCCTTGAGGGAGGGGGAAAGCGTTGTGGGTTCCTAAATGGGGTGTCAACAATGAACAACATGAACGCGAAACACACGGGGGAGAAGCCTTTGTGCGATGGTTGTGTTAGATATCATCCGGCAAAAGTTTCGTCGTCCAATTCGAGGTCCAAGGCTGGACTGATGCCGAGGCAGTGACCTTGAATCTGGTTGTCATCGAAAGCCCGCTATTCATGGGTGGCTTTGCTTACTCGGACTACGCGACCATGGTGCAGGACATGGGGCCTTCAAGGAATGGCCCGAAGATGCCCGAAGAAATTGCAGGTATTCTTGAGGTCTTTGAACCCACTAGTCAAAGGGCTCAGACGTGGTTCGCGGAGCCTAAAGGAGGTGAAGATGTAAGCATCAAACAATCAAGCAAAGGCCCACAAGCATGTTCTGAGCATTTTGAACATGTTCCAAGAGGGGACAAGGGCAGAGAAAGAAACTTGCAGGACATCATGGATGCCTTTCGGAACCCTGAGAACAGCGGCCTGGTCAATAAGATCCTCCGCTGGCTGAAGCTTTGAGTCCTTCACCCACGGTCAAAGTCTCGTGGCAGTCTCCTCGGCTTAGCCGAGGAGACCAGGAAGGGTGCAAAAGAATGCTGAAGATTGAGCAATTGGAATGAGCGGCATTGGAACATTTTTGTCACATCAACATGGAGCATGGGTGCTTCCAGTAGTGCAATCATGCCTGGAACGCTGTATGAGTATTGTTCAAACATCACACTAGAGAAGAGCTTTTGCAAGCAGTGGTGAGCCGGCCGAAGACACATTCGTGTATGCTACACTAGGCTAGAGTCTAGAGAAGTATGCACTTGAAAAATCTTGAAAATATATGGCAAATGGCAAAGAGTTCCTCGTGACACAGACCTCTTTTGGTTTCATTGACATCTAAAGTCCGCCTGGATTTGATTGGCAATGTAGCAACTTGCAGCGTTTGAACCAACATCAGCCGCTGGTTTGCTCAAACATGGACTTGAAGACTCTGACCTTTGCTAACCATGGGCCAGACTTGAAAGATCTGACCTTTGCTTTAAAGAGAGGTCAAAAACATAGACCCTTCGGTAGACATTCTCGGAATTCCGAAACACAGTTTAGAGCGAGCTACAAACTCCAGGTGACGTGTTTTCCAGCCATCCCAGCTCCCGCAAAAAGCTGACCCAACAACTGCCTCAATTTTCATCGGAAGGACGCATCGGGGATCCAAGACAAGACAAGAGCTTTAGAGATATACACTCCCAGCTTTTCTCTCCACCAGCGGCCGGGGCTTGCTTTTCAGCGGGCGCTTAGGCTGGATGTTGGGGTAACAATAGCAGGGTCTTTCGATGCTTGTTGTTTCCAGATCCTGGCAGGTCGAGGAATCCTCACACCTCGTATCCAAAGGTAGACAGTCCTCAAGACGATGGAATTCTTACGATGTTGAGCTCTTTTTTCTATACCAGGTCCATGGCTGCGCCCAATGTCGCGGCGGATGGCTTGGAGGTGATCTTGACGCCCTACAGGCGACAGGGTGCGGCAGGTGGACGTCCGAAGTGCTGACTAGGTTCTGGCTAGTTCAGTTTTACGATGTTTTACATAGTTGCGTGCAAGACATACCAAGCCTACCACACTAGCTCTTTTACTGGGGCAAGCAGTCGTGTAGACTGGTTTGAGACCCCCAAAATTCATGATGTGGTGAGGCAACACTGCAACGCTGTCTATAGTCTATAGATGTCTACAGGAAGATCCGATCCCAGAGAACCACTATGACCGTCCACGTCCAAATGCCAGACCAGCCACCCACCGTTCACAATGTGCAGTTCGTGAGTCCACCAAAGCAGTATATATATATATATATATCACTCCCAAAGCACTCAGCCTCACCCAACAAAAACAGAAGTGGCGCAAGAAACACTGAGATAGAGCAATTTCACAGAATATCCTTTGTCTGAAAATCCTTTCAACAGTTCAACAGGTGTTTATCTACTGTTCTTTAGGCTACTCGTTCTTGCGGTGGTTGAATGCGAAGAGACCCCAAACAGTGTGTGTGAGGTCTGTGAGCAGAAAGTCTACAGATCTAGACGCGGGGTCCAGAGAGGTGATGGTGGTGATGAAGGTGGAGATCGTGGTGATGGTAGCGGTGGTGGTGAGTGTGACTGTGAGTGAGAGTGAGAGTGAGAGTGTGAGACTGAGAGTGAGTGTGAGAGCGAGCATGTGTGCGTGTGCGTGTGAGAGCGAGCATGTGTGCGTGTGCGTGTGCGTGTGCGTGTGCATGTGCGTGTGCGTGTGCGTGTGCGTGTGCGTGTGCGTGTGCGTGTGC